AAAAAAGTTGATGTCAAGTACTTGTTCAAGTTCATTTACCAAACCAAAATTTTCAGTTATGAAACAATAAACCCTAGGCAGCTCAATATTTTCAAATGTGAAAAATTAAAGAATTAGTTGCCATCCTTATGCTAAAATTAAAAAAAAAAAAAGGAAAAAAAAGATGCTGGGACAGATGGGTATCCAGATACAAAGCATTGACATTAAGTTCCCACCTCGCACAGCAACTTAAGCTAGACTTGGGTGTGGTGGCACCTGCCGTTGATCCCAGCATCAAGGATGGGCAGGGGCATGATGACCTCTGATCTACATAGGGAGTCCAGGCCAGCCAAGACTACAAGTGAGTCTCTGTCTCAACAGAACAGAGCAGAACAGTCCAGAACAGAACAAAAGAGCCCTTCAAACTATGTCAAGCATATGTAAGAGTTAAATCTATAAAACCTTAGGCCTGGGCTGGGGACAGAGCTCAGTGGCGGCGTCCTTGTTTACCATGCATAGAGCTCCGGATTTGAACTGCAAACAAGCAACTGCAGAGGTCAATGTTAATGATCTTGAACTTGACAATGAATTCTTAGATATGATACTAAAGCAAAAGCAATGAAAGAAAAAAAAATAGGTAAATTCTATCACATCAAAATTTAAAAAGTTGTATATTGAAGGATGTTAGGGCATGTCTTAACCGCAGAGCCTTCATATTCTGTCAGACGAGACATAGGTCAGCCATTGTGCACTTTCATTTAGTTGCTCCGTGGACACAGAAAGAAGGCTGGGGTTGGCTAGGAGATGGGGACAGAAAGAAATGAAAAACAGAAGGTGAGTAACAGCTTCTTTCTCTCTGTTGGGTTTGATCCCAAGGACCTGGAGCATGACCTCTACCACTGAGCTACATCCCCAGTCTAGGATTTTCTTTTTGAGTGTTGGTTATTTTAGAACAATTGAAGTGATGGTTGCAGAATACACACAATGTGAATTTCATCTGAAAAAGAAAAGAAAGGAAGAAAGAGAGAGAGAAAGAAAGAAAGGTCTTAGTGTGAGTGAAAGAAACAAGCTGAGCTAGATCTGGACCAAGGAACCCAGACCTGGGAGGTGTGAGACACGGAAGGCTAGAGATCACAGAGAGTCTGAGCGGTGGAAAGTCATGTGTCTTGAGCATAATAACGACATGTAAAACATCGCTTTGTCTTTGATGAAGTAAAATAACCGTCGAAATATGCAGATGGTTGTTATAAAGAAGATAATGGTACTTGGGGGAGGGGAACTATTAGCCCACAATCTGTTACCAGTAGAACCACTCATACTTTTGACTCATAAAATTTCAAAATCAGGGCTGCAGAAGTAGGTCAGTGGCATGCTTGAGGCTCTAGTTTGGACCCTTAGCTGCAAAATAAATGAAAGAAGGGAAGAAAAAAGGGAGGGAGAGAGCACAGAAGGGAGGGAGATTTCAGAGCCAGCCCACATGTTTTTCCTTTACCTGTACATCCATGCCCCAGGCCTCAGAGCACCTGTATCTGTTTCCTTTACACTCAGCCAAAGAATTAGTTCCTAGTTTTCTCTGGCACCAATTTCAGTGTGCCTACATTTCAGAACCTTGCTACTCAAGGTGTGGTCTGTGAACAGGCAACAATGACTTCACCTGGGAGTTTGTTAGAGATGCAGAGTCATAGCTTCCTCTTAGAGAGTCATCATTCTAATAAAATCCTCAAGCCATGTATACATTAAAGTTTGACAAATTCCTATGTAGAAAGAAGAAATAGAGAGATAGCTGAGATTCACCAAGTTGCTTGATTTCGTTTGTAACCATTGCTCTGCTATGTTAGGCTTTTTGGATTTTGGTTTACTGTGTAACCTAGTTTGCCTCAGCATCCTAAGCTATGCCATCACACCTGGATGTCAGGCTAGCTTTAAAAAATGTTTTTTTTTTTTTTTTTTTGGTTAGGATCTACTAATTATTTGCACTAAGAGGTTTCATTACATTTTCATACATCTATATATTTTGGTCATAATTACCCACATTACCCTCTCTTGACTTCTGTTGATCTCCCAAATTAATCCTTTTTTTTTTCTTTTCTTTTTTTTTCCCAAGAAAGAGTTTCTCTGTGTAGCCTTGGCTGTCCTGGACTTTGTAGACCAGGCTAGCCTCAAACTCACAGAGATCCACTGGCCTCTGCCTTCCCAAGTGCTGGGATTACAGGCCTGCTGCACTGCACCTAGGGAATTAATCCATTTTATTTTTTTCTCTCCTTTCTTTCTTTCTTTCTTTCTTTCTTTCTTTCTTTCTTTCTTTCTTTCTTTCTTTCTTTCTTTCTTTCTTTCCTTCTTCTCTCTTTCTTTCTTTCTTCTCTTTTCTTCTTTTGTTTTCTTTCTTTTCTTTTCTCTGAGGAGCCAGTAAGTTTCTTACGGTTGCTTACTTATAAATCCTGAGGAAAGGGTGGGCCTGTTTGGTTTCTTTATCTGCATGGCAGGATGTTGTTGGCTTTAACCTTGTGCATGTCTTGTGGAGGCAATCACAGCTGCCGTGCGTTGAAGAGTACATCTGACTTGTCACATGGTAGGTTAGTTTTGCCCCCACGGAAATGAGTTAAAAGGAGTAGCAGGGGGCTAGGGTGATTATAAACTGGAAAAGTGCTTGTCATGCAAGCAGGGCCATCTGTGTTCACATCTTGAGCACCCAAGTCAAAAGCCAAGTGAACTGACCAGTGCTATAACCTCAGCATCGGGGAGGCAGGAGGATCCCTGGGGTTTACCCGCCAGGCTGCTCAGCCCAATGAACAAGATTCAGGTTCATCAAGAGCCCAGTCTCAAATAATAAAGGTAGAGAGACGGTCATGGAAGATACTCAACGGTGTCCACCTTTCGCCTCCACACATTTGTAAGCACGCAGGAACACGTAAACCACCCAGGCATGCACACAAAAAGGAAATTATTTTAGTTTCTCAACATGGTTTATCTTTGAGCTAAGTTTCTTAAATGCAATCAGGATGGCCACACCTATCTGAAAGCTTGTAGTGAACGGGTCATTTTCACTGTCTCCTCAGAGAGTATCTCTTTGCCCTACATACTTGCCCTGGTGGTCTTGTCTTTCTTCGATCACCCTAGATGCTTCCTTGCTGGGTTTCCCTCTCCCTCCCATGCTTCTTTATCTGGTTCCTTCCCTTCTCACACCATTTTCACCTAGTCCAGAAAGTTCTTCTCCATCACCCCGTCCAGAGCAGTTCCCCTATTTTTGGTGCTCTGCTTAGTTTTACCCTAGAACCAGACTCTTCACTTTCCACCCTGGTAACCATGGTTCCGCTCCACTGAGGGACTTCTGGCCACCTGCACCTATCTCCTGTAGACACAGTCAACTGTGTTGCTTCCTTTATGGCCCCTCCCCCACAGCTGCGTGGCAGTAAACTGTTACTTAGGCTCTGTTGCCTTCTTTCTGCATCCGCAGATGGGGCACTGAGCCCGATATTTCACAGGCTTGTTACAAGAAGAATTCTCAGCGATATGGAGAAGGGATGTTAACATGAGGACACTCAAAAATTATTCAGTTTTGTAGTGGTAAAAGTGAGGTTAAAAACTCAAGTTCCTGGTAGGTCCCAGGCCAGGAAGTGGCAACTTGTACAGATGCAAGTAAAATAACTCTTGTCTTTTTCATCTTATATGTATTTCCCAAGGTTCTGTCCTCATTCCTCTTTTCTGCTTAGTTTGACTGAGGAGACTATTCTCAGTCTGAGCCTTGTGCCACTTTCCAGCTGCTTTCATGAAATCTCCTCTTGGCTCTTACACTGATAATCATAAAATAGATAGATCCAAAAAGGAACTGCCTTCCTTCTTGTTGCTGCTCCTCCATCCCAACTCTGTCCCTATCTTTGAATGTCCTGTCTGCAATGTGACATTATATTTCTCTCTTGCACACATGCTTTTTTTATTTCTTAGTTCTTCAAAATTATTTGTCGTTATCTAGTGCACATTTTACTTGTTTGTAGCTTGTCTGCCAAGACATTAATTCTACAAGAATAGAAATTTTGCTGACTTAGGTCCTGTTGTAGTTCCTGAAGCTACTGCAGTGTCAGGCATTCAGTAGTCATTGTCATTTGATTAATGCTTATCAAATGACTTAATGGATCTTCCTTTCCTCTTATTTCTGTTGTCAATTAATCTAGTTAGTTCTATATCTTCAGTATGTCTTGATGTGTGTGTGTGTATGTGTTACTGACAGGTTTAGCCAACTGGTTTTTTGTTTGTTTGTTTGTTTGTTTGTTTTGTTTTCAGCCTTTTGATGGCTAATAAAAATTTGGCAAGTTATTTAAATTGTTAGTCTCAGTTCCTTGTGTCAACATACAACTGTTAACAGAATAAATTCACATACATGCTATGAGACTTCTAAACATGATGCATGCTTAATATCTAGTCCATTTTCTGGAATAAAATGAATGCTTGCTTTTTTTTTTTTTCCAATGAACCCCTTGGGGCTAGGTCTGAGTTAGCAGCTGTTGCCCTCTCCTAGGACACTACACTTTAGCCCCGATGATGTGAGCCTTCCCACTCTCTGGGTAACAGCAGAAGCAGAAGCAGGCTCAGCCAATCCCTTCCTAACTGAAGTGTAAAGCGTTGCTGGGTTTTCAGATTTGTATGTACAATGAGGCTCAGAGAAGATAACGAATTTCCCCGAAGTTACACAGTATCACAGTAGTAGTTAAGTTGTAAAACATTTTTTTTTTTTTTCTCCTTAAACTTATTTTTAAACCACAGCATGCTGGTCACAAACAGTCCTGACTTACAAACTCATTTTCTGTGCCCCAGAAAACACTTCCCTTCTAGGCGTCCCCAGCTGAAATGTTTGCCCTAAATCCATCCCGGCAGTCTGAAGGAAGCAGTTTGCTAGGAACCGTGGTGAACTTCCTCAGTCTCTGAGCAGAGAGCCAGGCAGTCAGCCCGACCTAGATAACTTAGACTGAGCAAGCCTTCCCAAAGAAGAAACTTGCTCAGCAACAACAGTTTCCACAGACGTTTACCTGAGCCAAGGCAGAAGACAAGTGGGAACAGCCAGACCACCGTCTGAGAGGCAGAGTCAGGCGCTGGAGCCCTTGCGACAGCCATTCTTTCATAAGCTTGTCGCTGAGACTTCCTTTTCTTCTAGTGATGAGAGCGCTTCCTCTAGCAAACCTTTGGCTATCTATCTTCAACTTCACACTTTGTGTAAGTCAAGACTGCTAGCGACGGGGGATACGGACCCTGAACCCGCCATCTCCCGTTCCAGTGGAGGGATTGGGACACCAACCCAGCCACAAAACCTTCCACCTACAATTTGTCCTGCCTGCATGATGTACTAGGGTAAAGGCGGTGCAGAAATTGTGGGAGTGGCCAAACAACGTGCACCCTGAGACTCAGGGCAGGAGAGGCAGTCCACTCCTGACCCTGCCTGGAGAGTCGGGAACCAGGGGTTGGGCAGTCCAGAGACACACCCACAAAACAAAACAAAACAAAACGGTCAATGAAGTGATCCTTAATGATATTCCATATTCTTAGACAGGAGCCTAGTCCAGCCATCATCAGAGAGGCTTCACCCAGCACCTGATGGAAACAGACGCAGAAACCCACAGCTAAATGAGAGACCGAAGGATAAAGTGGCAGCTATCGTTAAAACCTAGAGTAGGTGCGGTAAAATAGTTAGTAATGCCCTGAGGGGAGAGCTACCTCACTGCATTCTTTCCCCACCCAGTAGAGATACGGTTGCTAGGAAACTGGACCATCCCCCTAGGGAGGGACACCTGGTCATTAATGGCCTGGGAACCTATAGCCAATTGATTCAAAATGTAGCATCTTGACCAATAGATGCTTGCCAGGCAGGAATTGCCCCTGCCTTGGGTATGCTGGGAGGGACCAGAATCTATAAATCACCCAACTAACCTAGGGACGCTTTGGTGGTGGGGCTGTGTAGGCCCAAGCTGCAGCTTGTAATTTACAATAAAAAGACCCTCATGTGTTTTGGAACGGAGTCGTTTCCTGTAGATCTTTTGGGGGCTCGTGAACTGGGTATAACACTAAACAGTAGGTGGAGCTCGGGGAACCCTGTGGAAGAGGGGGAGGAAGAATTGTAGGAGCCAGAGTGATCAAGGACACCTCAAAAACAAACAAAACCCCACAAAACAACAGCAACTTCCCCCTCCCCCACAGAATCAACTAATCTGAGCTCATAGCTCAGAGACTGAAGCCACAATCAGGGGCCTGCGTGGGTCTGACCTAGGCCCTGTGCATGTATGTTATAGTTGTGTGGCTTGGTCTTCCCTGTGGGACTCCTAACAGTGGGAGCTGGAGCTGTCTCTGACTCTTTTGCTTGCTTTTGGGACCCTTTTTTTCCTACTGGGTTGCCTAGTTCAGCCCTCACATGAGGGAAGGTGCCTAGTTTTATTGCAACTTGATATGTTTGGTTGATGGCCCTGAGAGACCTGCCATTTTCTGAAGGGAATGGAAAAGGAGTGGAGGTTTGTGTGTGTTGGGGGAGGGGCTGGAGGTGAGGAAGGAAGGAAACTGCGGTCAGGATGCCCCCCCTTTGTTTTTTGATGAAAATACCTTGTATAATATATATATATATATGTATATACATATATATATATATATTTTTTTACCTTGTATAATTGTAACTTAAAATTTTTTTAGCGAGACTTTTCTGTTATTAATAAAACTTTATTAAAAGAAGCAGCTAGGAGCTAGAATTGGCTTGCAGACTAGGGTTTTACATCTAGTTTTTTCTTTTAATTTTTATTTTTTTATATTAATTACCGTTTATTCACTTTGCATCTCAGCTGTAACCCCCCTCCTCCCCTCCCAATATCATCCTCCCTCCCTCATCTCCTCCTATGCCCCTCTCCAAGTCCACGGATAGGGGAGGTCCTCTTTTCCTTCCATCTGACCCTAGCTTATCCGGTCTCATCTGAACTGGTTGCATTCTCCTCCTCTGTGACCTGGCAAGGCTGCTTCCCCATCCAAGGGAGGTGGTCAAAGAGCTAGCCACTGAGTTCATGTCAGAGACAGTCCCTGTTCCCCTTACTAGGGAGTACCCACTTGGATACTGAGCTGCCATGGGCTACATCTGAGCAAGGGTTCTAGGTTATATCCATGAATGATCCTTTGTTGGAGTATCAATCTCAGAAAAGACTCATGGAGACTTTTATCATGACGTATTTATGTATTTGAAAAAAAAAATGTTCATCTTGTCCATGGCATCTTCTGTAATGTCTGTCAGATCTTATTGATTTGTAGTTTTTCTCAGGTTCTTTTTCTTCTCCTTCTTCTTTTCTGACCTTCTGTGGTTCTAACCTCAGAAGATTCATATGCTGGAGGCTTGGTCTCCAGTGTGGTGATCCAGAAGGGTGGTTGGATTTTTGAGAGTGGGGTTCTAGTGGGAGACTATCGGGTCATTGATGGTCTCTGGTATGGTGGGCTTCAGGTATGCAAATGCCTTTAAATCACCGATATGCCTACAGATAGCCTCTCACCTGTGCACCTGTAAGTAACCCCAGTGAACTAATCTAGGCCTGTGAGGGCTGTTTCTTTGTAATATTGTCAGTGTCCTATTTGGGGTGATTAGAGATACTTGTTCAAATCTCCCCAGAAAAAGTCACAATTGGTGCCTGAAGTGGGAGAAACAAGATAAAGCTGAGCATGAGAGAAGGGCTCGCATAACCCTCAGCTGTGGGTGAGACACAAGCACTGATCCAACCAAGGGTGGAGCATCCAGGTGGCACCCCTAAGGTGATCACTCTTCCCCGGGGGTGTGAGACTGTGTGCCTCCTTGCTGTAGTGGCGGTTGTGTGTCGTGAATAAGACAAGCAACTGAAGCTGAGCATCTTGAGGGGAAACCCGGGGTGGCTGTCCTCCTCTACGTGGTATGGTTGGCATACCCCTTTTATGAATGTGGCCTGTCTCTCAAGTACAGGAATGCCCCCAAGGCGGCTGATGGACTACAGAATCTATTGTAATTCCTGAAAGTGGCACATATGATTATAATAAGCAGGTCATGGAAAGAGTCCCTTGGTCTCTGCTGGATGCCATAAGAGATGTATCCGAGGCTAAGATTTCTGCCCAGAAGGCATTGCCAGGGGAAGGGAGAAATCACAAAAGAAGAGACACACAGATGATGTCCTCCATATTACCTTCTGATTTGGCAGGAAAATGAGGAAAAAGGAGGATGGCTCTTTATTTTTCTTTCCCTCAGTTAGTAAAAGAGAGTTCATTAGTCCTGTGCTAGAGAACCCTTCCTGGAACCCCAAAATATTGACCCATAAGAAAAATCAGATAGTGAGGAGTAAAAAGATGAGGTGGAAATGATAGAAGAAATCCCTCAGTCTAAAGCAATTGTTATAGCTTGGAGATGCTAATATTGGGAAAAGTGGGAGAAGGGACTGTTTAAAGCAAACTGTTGGGGGACTGAGGGAGGAACAGCCAGGAAAGAAATTAGATTCAGGAATCTCTCTTTTTCTCTCTATACTTCTTTCTTTCCTATATAGTGTTAGGGGTAAAACCAGTGGTGGGTAGGAGGGAATAGAGGGTGGGAAAAAGAAGAAGCCACAAAGTAGCAAAGGCATATAGAGATTGTTTAGGATGGAGTTCTTTTTGAAGTCAGGGATGAGAAGAAGACAATGCAACCAGTCCTGATGAGACCTGATAGGCTAGGGTCAAAGAGAAGGGGAAGAGGACCTCCCCTATCAGTGGACTAGGGGAGGGGCATAGGGGGAGAAGAGGGAGGGAAGGTGGGATTGGGAGGAGATGAAGGGGGCGCAGCCGGGATACAAATTGAATAAATTGTAATAAATGATAATAATAATAAAAGAAAAAAAGGTGTCAGGGATGATTGATGGAGATGGTCTAGAAGAAATCTGAATCCTGTCTGATCCAGGGAGCTGGCTCAAGAGCGGGTGTGATGCATGACAACAGTGTCTTGCTTTCCCTTCCCCCTGGGCAGAGCATTGCAAACCAGCTCCATGGAACCAATCAAGGTAGGGGAGATGTGTAGTTGCCCAGGATGAGGATATTGAATGATATATGGATTATAAAGATATAAAAAGGTGGTCCCCCATCCATGTATCTAAATTGCATTTTGAAAAAAAAATAATTGACACAGTAATGGAGTATTTTTCATGATATAGTGATAACTTTAAAAATATCCCTGCTGGGTGTGGTGGAGTATTCCTTTAATCACAGCATTCAGGGAGGCAGAGGCAGGCAGATCTCTGTGAGTTCAAGGTCAGACTGGTCTACAGAGTAAGTTCTGGGACAGCCAGGGCTACACAGAGAAATGTTGTCTCAAAAAAACCCAAACCAAAACATATATATTCCTTTAGATTGAGTGCCAAACCAATTAGCATTTGTTTAGGAGAGGCAGCAATGGACCTTCAGAGATCCTGCCCACCCTCTGTAAAGGGTTTCCTTTATGAAATGCTAAACTTTGTGTGTCTCACAGATTGGGAAAAACATCTGGAAGAACAGTAAAAATAGAAAAGCTCGAAGTAGAGCACCCCATGTGGGTGGGAAAAAGTGCTTTTAGGAACACAAAGTTGTTAGGTTAAAAGATGGATTACCTCTTTGAGCAATCATTGGCCAGGGAGTAATCCTTGAGCACAACTACTAACAAACTGCAACCAGCCCCCCTGAATGACCACCAGCCACCGACCTCACCTCTTGGGGCCCTAGCATTTATGTACCCTCTGAAAAACTCTGCAGCTGGCAAAACCATGCCTTGGCTAGAGCACAAGGCAAATCACAGTCAGCAGCTGGGAAGTAGCCCCATATCCCCACACCCAGGGTTAAAATGAAAACATGTTCTTAATAGTATTTCTGTGTTTATAAAGAAGCCAAAATTGCAGAATTGTCACTACAGTATGTAAAACAAAATCAGCCAAGGGAAATGAGTACACAAGCTACGTGCTAACAAGATGGTTCAGCAGGGAAGGGCACATGCTGTCAAACCTGGCGACTTGAGTGTGATCCCTGGGGGCCTGTATGGTGGAAAGAGAGAACCGACCCCCGTGATTTCTAAGCACACTGCGGCCTTTGTGTGCCTTCCCTTATACAATTAATAAAATGTAATAATAAAAACATGAAAAGACAGACAAGGGACAAAGCCTGGTCCTGTTTAGTGTTTCACAGCACACCCACAGGTCCTGAAGGTTTTGTGAGAACCACACCCTCTTGTCTTTGTCTAAAATTCCAGTGCCTTAGTTCCTTTCTTCCAACTGGCACTATAGGTGACAACTGTCCTGTACCCT